TTGTAATGATTGATACAATTAAAAATTCTTATGGGGCACCTGGGTGGCTCCGTTGGTTAAGGGTTGAACTCTTTTTTTTTTAATTTTATTATGTTAATCACCATACATTATATCATTAGTTTTTGATGTCATGTTCCATGATTCATTGTTTGCGTATAACACCCAGTGCTCCATTCAATACGTGCCCTCTTTAATACCCGTCACCAGGCTAACCCATCGCCCCACCCCCTCCCCTCTAGAACCCTCATTTTGTTTCTCAGAGTCCATAGTCTCTCATGGTTCGTCTCCCCCTCCTATTCCCCCCCTTCATTTTTCCCTTCCTGCTATCTTCTTTTTTTTTTTTAACATTAAATGTATTATTTGTTTCAGAGGTACAGGTCTGTTATTCATCAGTCTTATACAATTCACAGAGCTCACCATAGCACATACCCTCCCCAATGTCTATCACCCAGCCACCCCATCCCTCCCACCCCTCACCACTCCAGCAACCCTCAGTTTGTTTCCTGAGATTAAGAATTCCTCATGTCAGTGAGGTCATATGATATGTCTTTCTCTGATTGACTTATTTCGCTTAGAATAATACCCTCTAGTTCCATCCACGTCGTTGCAAACAGCAAGATTTTGTTTTTATGGTGGCTGCATAATATATATATGTATACACACACACACACACACATCACATCTTCTTTATCCATTCATCTGTTGATGGACATCTTGGCTCTTACCATAGTTTGGCTGTTGTGGACATTGCTGCTATAAACATTGGGGTGCACGTGCCCCTTCGGATTACTACATTTGTATCTTTGGGGTAAATACCCAGTAGTGCAATTGCTGGGCTGTAGGGTAGCTCTATTTTCAAATTTTGAGGAACCTCCATACTGTTTTCCAGAGTGGCTGTACCAGCTTGCATTCCCACCAACAGTGTAGGAGGGTTCCCCTTTCTCCACATCCCCGCCAACATCTGTCCTTTCCTGACTTGTTAATTTTAGCCATTCTGGCGGGTGTGAGGTGGTATCTCATTGAGGTTTTGATTTGGATTTCCCTGATGCAGAGCGATGTGGAGCACTTTTTCATGTGTCTGTTGGCCATTTGGATGTCTTTGTTGGAAAAATGTCTGTTCATGTCTTCTGCCCATTTCTTGATTGGATTATTTGTTCTTTGGGTGTTGAGTTTTCCAAGTTCTTTATAGATTTTGGATACTAGAAGAGTTGGACTTTTGGTTTTGGCTCAGGTCATGATCTTGGGGTCGTTGTGCTCAGCCGCTAGTCTGCTTCAGATTCTTTCTATTTCTCCCTCCCTCTCTGCTCCTCCCCCCCAAAATAAATAAATAAATAAAATCTTAAAAAAAACTCTAGATAAGACTAATCAAAAAGGAAAAAAAAACACCAACTACCAATATCAGGAATGAAAAATGAACATCACTACCAATCCCATAGATATTAAAAAATAAAAAGGGATATTATGAGTCACTTTATGCCCAATAAATTTGACACTTTATGTAAAATGGAAAACATCTTTGAAAAACACAATATACTAAAACTGAAACAAGAAGAAATATAACATCTGATTAGGCATATCTATTAAGTAAATTAAACTTGTTACTAAAGAAACCTGGCCACTCCAATTCACACTAGTGAATTCTTCCACAATACTTATGGAAGAACTAATACCAGTTTTTGCAGCCTTTTTCAGAGAATAGAAAAATAGGAAATGTTTCTCAAATCATTTGGGTGCTAGTGTAACTTCAATGGGTTATGACATTCAAATCTGAATAAGACATTATAAGAGAGGAAAAACAGAGGCCAATCTTATTTATAAATATAGATGGGAAAATTCTAAACAAAATATCAGGAAATAAAATTCAGAAATATATAAAAAGGAAATAATAAATTATGAGAAAAATGTTATTTTAAGGATGCAAATTCAATTTAATATTTGAAAATTAATATTAGTCACAGGAACAGATGAAGAAAAATAGGATTATCTCAATAAATACAGAAAAAGTCATTTGATACAATTCAGCACACATTCATGGTAAAGTATTTAGCAAACTGAAAATAGAAGGGAACATTCAGACTGTATTTTAAAACCTACAGGAAAAATTATCTTTAATGGTAAATTATTGACATTTCCCTTAATTATCAAGAACGAGACAAGGATGCCTGCCTTTACTATTTCACTTAAGTATTATACTATAGGTCCTAACCAGTGGAATAAGGCAAAGAAAAAATAAAAGTCACAATGATTGAAAGGGGAGAAATAAGAATGTCTTTTTTTAAAAAAAAATGACATGATTGTATATATAAAAAGTCATAAAGAATCTATTGATGATTAGGATTAACAAATTAGGTTAGCTATTCCACTGGATATATGGTAGTATACAAATAGAAATTGTATTTCTGATAAAAACAAAAATCATAAAATTTAAGATTTTGAGTATTATTTACAATAGTTTAAAAAATGTCAAATATCTAGAAACAAATCTAACAACATGTGTAAGACTTATGTACTGAAAAACTATAAAATATTGAGAAAAGTTAAAGTTCTAAAATAGAGGGATATATAATTTTCAATATTTGGAAGACTCAATGTTGGGAATATGTCACTTCTCCCCAAGCACTCTATAGTTGGAATAAAATCCTAAACAAAATTTCAGCAGATTTCTTTGTGAAAATCGACAAGTCAAATCTGAAGTTTATATAGAAATACAAAGGGACAATAAGAACCAAAACCATCTTGAAGAAAAAGAATAAAAGTGGAGGACTTTCTGTGCTTACGCCCCTGGCGGTGGCAGCTGGCGCGCTCTCAACGTGCAGAACGACGCCGGCGAGTTCGTGGACCTGCATGTACCGCGGAAATGCTCCGCCAGCAACCGCATCATCGGCGCCAAGGACCACGCGTCCATCCAGATGAACGAGGCCGAGGTTGAGAAGATGACAGGCAGTTTCAATGGACAGTTTAAAACCTACGCTGTGGGGCCATTCGCAGGACAGGTGAGCCAGATGACTCCATCCTCAAACTGGCCAACTCCAACATCGTTTCAAAGAACTTCTGAATGGAGAGGATCACGGATGTGGGGTATTTGTAAAGTGGAGGACTTACCTATCAGATAGTCAAGCCTATTAAAAAGATATAGTTATTAAGACAATATGGTATTGCAGGATAAATGAAGAGAAAAATGGAAAGAAGAGTCTTGAACAGACCAATGGTCACCTGATTTATAATAAATTGACTCTTCAGAAACAATGGGGAATGGATCTTTTTTTCAATAGATAGTGCATTTGGATTTATGAAAAAATAATGTAACCCTAACCTCATTCATATGAAAAAAATCAAATTCAGGAAGATCATTGCTCTAAATATGAAAAGTAAAGCAACTGATTTAAAAATATATACAAGAATATTTTCATGATCTTGGGATATATGCAAAGATTTCCTAACCATAAATGAAAAGTATTGATAAATTAGACTAATGGTAAGAAGTTTTGTTCATCAAAGATAGCACAAGAGAGTGGAAATGCAAGCCATAGAGTGGGAGAAGATATTTGCAATACATACTTCTGAAAAAGTATACTCAGAATATATAAGGAACTTCTAATGATTGATAAGGAAAAAGGCAAATGTCCTTAAGAGACAAAAGACAAGTACTTCACAAGAATGTACCCTAATGGCCATTCATCATGTGAAAAAAGTGCTCAATTTAATCAGGGAGATGCTAATTAAAGTTACAATATGTTATCACTACACATTGATCAGAGTGGTTAAAATTAAAAGACAGTATCAAATGTTGACAAGGACATGGAGCAACTGGAACTGTCGTTTTTTGCTGGTTTCAGTAAAACCACATTTGTAAACTTTCTGCAATATCTGTTAAGGCTAAATATATGTGTTCATCTTTGCACACAGAAGTCTGACTCCTAGGAATATATTCAACATAAATGCTCACAGACACCAAAAGATATGTACAAGAATGTTGGTAGCAGTGCTATTCAAAATATCACCAAACTGGAACACCCCAATGTGCATCAACCAGGGAATAGATAAATAGTAGCACAGTCATACAATAGAATAATATAAAGCACTGAGAATAAAATAAATTAGGACAATATATAACAGATGGATTTTAAAAACATAATGTTGAGTAAAAGAAGCCAAACATAAAAGAGAAATACTACATAAGTCCATTTGCATAAAAGTTCAAAAAAAAGAAAAGAAAAAATCTATGATAATAGATGTCAGAAGTATGCTTACCTTTAGGGGAGAGAGTAATGACCAAACAAAAACAGAAGGGAGCTTCTAGGGTTTTGGTAACATTTTAGTTTTAGTTTAGTTTCTACTTATAGGACTGTGTTCACTTCCTGTAAAATGTATTGAGTTGTACACTTATCACTTGTACACCTTCTGATATGTTATATTTCAAAATAAAAATAACTTTTGTAAAATTGCAAACTTTTGTAAACATCGGTTAACACTTATTTCTTGAATGTAATCAAATAAGAAACCCAACAAAAGGTTTCTTCTCAAAATGTATTTTATGAAGAACACTAATATATCATTTAGTTTGTTCTGAAAAGTATTACTGCACTGAAAGTTAACAAATGTTTCTTTAGAATTTCCAATACCTAAGAACTGGAGATACGATCCGGCGCACTTCTGTGACTTAAAAGGACTTTGATAGTGTATACAAGTTATAATTTGGAATGAAATGGCAAATACTACATGCCATAGTAAGTAAGGACACCTGGTGGCGCTGCAGGCTAGAGTATGAATGAAAGGCTCTATGGCTATCCTGGACGCCATTGAGCTGGAATCAGAACAATGAGTGCTTCCTAAAAGAAGGAAGCATTTTAGTAAGATCTAGGGGCAGTTATCTTCAGAGAGGACATCATTCTAGGGCGAGTCAGTCAGAAATATCTAAATCGAGGTTATTTAACCAAATCATCTGGGTTGATTGTATACAGAGTTAAAGAAACTGCACCTTCTTGAATTGGGTCTGAACAATGGAGACTGCGCTAGCAAAAACGCCACAGAAAAGGCAAGTTATCTTTCTTGCTATATTGTTGCTTTTGTGGGAGGCTGGCTCTGACGCAATTAGGTATTCCATGCCGGAAGAAACAGAAAGTGGCTCCTTTGTGGCCAACCTGGCTAAAGACCTGGGGCTCAGTGTGGGGGAGTTAGCTACTCGGGGCGCGCGAATCCATTACAAAGGAAACAAACAGGTCTTGCAGCTGGATATAGAAACCGGGAATTTGCTGCTATATGGAAAACTAGACCGGGAGGTGCTTTGCGGGGCTACAGATCCCTGTATATTATATTTCCAGTTATTACTGGAAAACCCGGTGCAGTTTTTTCAGGCTGATCTGCAACTTACGGATATAAATGACCATTCCCCACAGTTCCTAGAAAAGGAAATGCTCCTAAAAATCCCAGAGAATGTTCAGCCAGGGACCGTATTTCCTTTGAAAATAGCTCAGGACTTGGACATAGGTATCAACACTGTGCAGAACTACACAATCAGCCCCAACTCCCATTTTCACGTTGTCACTCGTAATCGCGGAGATGGCAGAAAATACCCAGAGCTCATGCTGGACAAAGCGCTGGATCGGGAGGAGCAGTCTGAGCTCAGTTTAACCCTCACGGCGCTGGATGGTGGGACTCCGCCCAGGTCCGGGACCACTGCAGTCCACATTGAAGTCGTGGACATCAATGATAATGCTCCTCAGTTTTTACAGTCGCTCTATGAGGTACCGGTTCCAGAAAACAGCCCCCTAAACTCCTTAGTTGTTGTTGTCTCTGCCCAAGATTTAGATGCAGGAACAAATGGGAATATAGTCTACACTCTATTCCAAGGCAATGAAGTTACTCAACCATTTGTAATAGATGAAATTACAGGAGAAATTCGTCTGAAAAAGGCATTGGATTTCGAGGCAACTCGATACTATAATGTGGAAATTGCAGGCACAGACGGCGGGGGCCTTTCAGGAAAATGCACTGTAGCTATAGAGGTTGTGGATGTGAATGACAACGCCCCTGAACTTACCATGTCGACGCTCACAAGCTCTACCCCAGAAAACTCACCAGAGACTGTAGTGGCTGTTTTCAGTGTTTCTGATCCAGACTCCGGGGACAACGGTAGGATGGTTTGCTCCATCCAGAAGGATCTCCCCTTTCTCCTGAAACCCACATTCAAGAATTTTTACACCCTAGTTACTGAGAGACCACTGGACAGAGAGAGCCAGGCCGAGTACAACATCACCATCACCG